GGTGATGGGGATGCAAAGACAAACATCTCTTGCAATTGTCTCCAATTGTCCTCTCACACAGCCATCACCCCAATTCAGGTCCCCATCATCTCTCTCCTGCACTATGGCAAAGCCTTCTAACTGGTCTCTATCTCAAGTCTTTCTTGACTCCAATCCATCTTCCACACAACTGACAAAGTGATTTTCCTAAAGCAAGGTCTGACCACTTCACCACTCTCCCTCACTCAGTAAGTTTCAGTGACTTCCTATTACCTCTAGGGTGAATAGAATAAACTTATTCTCATTAGCAAACATCAATTCCACAGCACAGTGAGTAGTCCTAATGACAGGTTGGACTTGTAATGAACTGTATTCAAATATAATGGATTGTATTCCAATATAATGTTAAATATTCTTAATTAACTTTGACATATTTCTCAAAATATTTGCATGTTTTACTTACGTTGCATTTTTACTTTGTGACCTTGGGCAAATTATCTTACTGCTCTGGGCCCCAGTTTCCTTATCCATAAAAAACGAGGGGCTTGGACTAGATGATCTGGAAGGCTCCTCCAGTTCTGACATTCAATTTAATCCTATAAGCATTTATTGAGAGTTATGTGCCAGGTACTATGCCAAGCATGGGAGACACAGATAGAAAAATGAAGTGGTTCCTGTCCTCAAGAAACTGATGTTTTAGTTGGGGGGAAGGAGAGACAATGTGTACATATGTAAGTACATATAAGATACATACAGAATCAACATAAAGCAATTTGGAGGTGCAGAAGAGATTTTTAACAACTAGAAGATATCAGGAAATGCCGTTTGTAGCAATTGAGTTGTGCTTTAAAAGAAGCTGGGATTCCACCAAGTCAAAGACATTCCTGAGAATGTTCCAGGCATGGGGGACAACCTGGGCAAAGGCATAGTGGTGGGAAATGGAAATATCACAGACAGGATACATTAAGTAGACCAGTTTAGCTGGGAAATGGAATTCAGTAGGATAAATTCCAATCAATATTTAACATTATATTTGAATACAGTTCTTCATTAAAAGTCCAACCCGGCATTAGGACTAGTCACTGTGCTGTAAAATTGATGTTAGCTAATGTGAATATAGTTTATTCTATTCACCCTAGAGGTAGTAGGAATGTGATCACTCTGGAACAATCAATCAGATTCTGTTGTGAAGGGCCTTCAGTGCCAGAGAGAGGAGCTCCTATTTGCAACTAGAGGACACAGAAAACCACTGAAGCTTCTTGATCAGGGGATGACATAGACCTGTGCTTTAGGAATGTCAATTTGGCAGCTGTGTGGAAGATGGTGTGGAAAAAGGAAGGAAACAATTAAGCATCTCCTATGTGCCAGGGGTAGCTGGGTGGTGCAGTGGATAGAACTCTAGGCCTGGAAGTCAGGAAAACTCATCTTCCTGAGTTCAAATCTGGCCTTAGACACTTACTAGCTGTGTGACACTGGGCAAGTCACTTAACCTTGTTTGTTTCAATTTCCTCATCTGTCAAATAAGCTAGAGAAGGAAATGGCAAACCACTCCAGTACCTTGCCAAGAAAACTCCAAATAGGCTCATGAATAAAACAACTATACACCAGGCACTATGCTTATAATGATTATCTCATTTGATGCTCACAAAAATCCTGTAAGATAGGTGCTTTTTTATCTCCATCTTATAGTTGAGGAAAATGAGGCAAAGAGAGATTAAATGACTTGTTATACAGCCAGTAAGTGTTTGAGGTTGGATTTAAATTCAAGTCTTCCTGACTCCAGGCCCAGCTCCCTATCCACCACGTCACCTAGCTAGACTGGAAGAGGGGAGAATAAGAAAGAGGTCATTGCAATAGACCTAACTCTCCAAAGAGGCAGAATGAACAGAGCTGTCAACCAATCACACATGAGGGTGGGGTGCTGAGGGTAAGTTCAAGATGTTGTTCTTCATGATTTGTTGTTTTTGATGAATAGTTCAAGATGATTCCAAGGTTGCAAAGGTAAGTGACTAGAAGGATGATGCTGCCTTTGACAGAAATAGGGATGTTCTATTTCTAGGTTCTATAATTTTAGAATTCTGTGATTGTGTACATAGGTATGTAAGGAACCTGAGTATTTACTGCAAGAATCAGGCAGCTATTGACATGCAGGTTATGTCAAATGTGAAGTTTCTGTCTTCATATCTGGTGTCTATGATTTAGGAGAGATTGGGAAGGACTTGAAGAGGTATAGTTTCCAATTACACTGCCGGGAAATGTGATAAATATTGGAGGAATGAATTCTAAAACCAGAAACAGGAAGAGACAACAGGGTTCCAATCATCTTAGGGTTGAGAGTCTCAGAGGACACAAGATGGAAGATCTAATGGGAATAGAAGAGATGAATGCCAGAGTTCATGGGTTTGAAAGAACTGGGAAACATTATGGTGCATGCCTCTGGGCAGGAGTAAGGATAGAGTAATTGAAGGAGGTGAAAGGAAGTGGGATAGTCTTTCTAACGTCATAAATCTGGATTTTTCATCTGATACATTCTTTTTGCCCTCAGACTTTATTTTTATTTATTTAATTTTATTGATGCTTTTTTTATACCAGTCATTTCCTGACATACACTAAGCCTCTCCACATTGAACTCCCTCCTGTCGCAAAGAAAATAAGTGAAGCAAAACCAACAGACAATGACAGTGTCTGACATTATATGCATCATTCCATGGCCATAGCCCACAACTTCTAGCAAGAGAAAGGAGAGTGTTTCATCACAGGATCCTAAATATAGAGCTGAACGGCATCTTGGAGTTCATCTGCTCCAGGGCTTCTTAAACTTTTTCCACTCATGGCCCCTTTTCAGTGCTTCCTAAGCTGTGGTTCTTGACTTTTTTTTTACTCCAACCACCATTTTACAGATGAGGAAACTCAGACACAGAGAGGTGATAACATTTATTACACTGTGAACTCCTTGAGAACAGGGATTTGTTTTTGCCTCAGTTCCATATCTGGCACTTTAAAGAATGTTTGTTGACTTGAATTGACCTGACTTGCCCAAGTGGGCACAAGTGGTAAGTGGCAGATCCGGGACCTGGTTCTGGGACTGAGATTGGTCATTGTAATTAATTAGGGTTGTCAGTCTTTTACTATAGTTTTCATTTACATTATGGTGGTCTTATGTATATTGGTCTCCTGGTTCTGCTTTCTTCACTCTGTGATCTGATGTTTTCCTAATGAAATGTCAGTTGCTGGTGATAGGTTGGGGGTAGTGTATGTAAACAGTTCAATGACTAATGATTAATCAATGCCCAATGATGAATAACTAATTATTGTTCAATAAGCAACAAACAGCCACTCTTTCCTAGAAATGTAGGTCTAGAAAGTAGTCCCTGGGGTTATCTTGTTTATATCTTTGGCTCTGGACGTGATTTTACCTAAAACAGACCAAATAAGAGCTGGAGGGTTGTTTTTTCCCCCTTTAAAACAGCAGAGAACTTTCTTTAATTTATAGTTACTGTTTCCCAGCAAGTTCTCCCTTACGTATAATTTTCAGTCCCTTTCATCATAGTTTAAACCCATTCCTTCTTGTGAACATCTACTCTCCCTTCTCTGTATCCTCACTTATTTATACAATATGTCCCAAGAGTCTTAGTGCTGCTTTAAGTAACTTTTAAATTTAAAACTGCCCTAAGACTTTTGGGACACCCAACCTAGTTATTAGTGTTATTTAACTCCCCCTTTCTCATTCCCAGGGTCCCTTTTCCTCTACCCATTTCTCCTCATTGGCACAATTTTCCATTCCATTTCTCAGTGGGTACAGTGAGATGTCAGGTAGAGAATATTCTCTTCTTCACTACTTTCCTGTATCTCCACATATTTCTTCCATTTTTAATAACTCTTAGGTAATGACCATCCTACTGATAATTACAATAATCTCAATTTGGAACCCCCATGGGACAATCATTCCTTTCATCACTCATACCTACTATGTACAAGACTACTAGTTCTGTTCTTGTACAAGTTACTGATGGAAAGTAGTTTATTCCTGCTGAGAGCTGTGTGATTTTGAATGAAAATGAAATTTTAAATTGTTAAAAATTCCCAGCAGGGCATAAATCTTTTTGCAACTTGTTTCAATTGTGCAATGAAATAGCCTATTTTCTTGATGTTTTTCTTTTGTGTTTAAACTCCTTTCCCTCTTATTCCCTTTCTCACATGGATATGGCTTTCCTTCCTTCCTTCCTTCCTCCCTTTCTTTGATTCTCTCCCCCTTTTGTAGTTACAACATTATGATTGAGCTCTATTTTCTCCCAGGGATTCAGAAAGCTGCTACCTAATCATAGCAGCAAAAAAGCTAAGAATTGGAAAGGACGTTAAAGAGCATTGAATTTGACAAATTTTACAAATGAGGAAACTGAGGCTGACAGCGACTAAGTGAATTTGTTAGGGTCAAAAGGTTAGTTAAAGCTGAGACTTGAATCCCATTCTCCTAACTCTCAGTACAATGTTCTTTCTATTATAAAATTCTACAAAATGGATATGAATGTACTGTATTGAACAAGTTATTATAACAGTGCATACAATGTACTATAAGGTATATTTACATCACATGAAAATTACATCTCTGCTGTGAATTGATCCAGCCATTCTGAAAAGCAGTTTGGAATTATACTAAGAAAATGACTAAATTAGCCATACCCTTTCACTCAGAGATATTACTTGTACGCATATACTCCAAGAAGGGCAAAAACACAAAGGTACCATATACAGCAAAATATTCTTAGTATCTCTTTTTGTGATAGAAATGAAATTCATCTCCATTGAGGAACAGCTAAACAAAGCGTGATATGGGAATGTAACTGAATTTCCCTAACTTATAAGAAACAACATGAAGAATTCAGAGAAACACAGGAAAACTTATAAGAACTGATACAAAATGAAGTAAGCAGAAACAGGAAAACAAGAAATATGACAACATAAAAGTAAAGAACAAGAAAAATAAAACTGAACACTGTATAATTATAATGACCAAGCCTGTCCTCTCCAAAAGAGATAAGAAAATGTAATTCTCTCCTTTCTTTGTAGAGGTGAAGGACAATGGTTGAGGAACATTGCATATGTTGTCAGACCTGGCTGATGTGTCTGTTAGTTTTGGTGAACTTTTTTTCTTCTCTTTTCTTCTTTTTTGTTGCAAAGAATAATTTGCTGGGTAGGAGAGCAAAGAGGGATATATTAGAAACAAAGTAATATAAAAACAGAAGACATTCATAAATATACATATTATGTGTATATACATATACATATTAAAACTGCTCCATTATACCACAAATTTGACTTATCTAAAACTAATGTCCTAGCTATGATAAATATTTCATTAATATCATCCTCAGGGACTTTAATATCCATGCTAATGTTACTTCCAATGTGATGACCTTACATTCTAATGACCTTTTTCTCCACTCCATTTCTTCTACCCACAAACACCTTGGGCTTAATTAATATTCATAAGTACTTCACTGATAAGAACTGAGATGCTCCTCTTTGAATACAACCTTTCCTCTTATTACTACTAAAGAATCACACAGTTGGGAGGAAATTCATACTAAGAATTCCCTCTACCACATGCCTTAATAAGTGGCTATCCAGGACTTAAAGTCCCACAGTGAGAGAGAACCACTACCTTCCCTTTCTGCTTTTTGATGGCTTTATAAATTGTTAGGAAGTTTGCCTCACATCAAACATGTTGTTCATCCTTCATTCTCACACCTAAATCTGCTTCTCTTTAACTACTATTCATGGATCCTAGCTCTATCCTCTGTGAATAACCAGAACAAATCTCATTCCTCTTTATACAACAGACCCTTTAACTACTTGAAGACAATTGTCTGTCCTCAGTCTTCTCTGCAGTCTACAAATCATAGGCCAGTGCCCTAAGCATTTTCTCTGGCTGTCTCCCATACCTGGAGTGATCTCTCTCCTCATCTCCATCTACTGACCTTCCCGACTTCCATTAAGCCCTAACTAAAATCCTACCTTCTACAGGAATGCTTCCCTGGCCCCTCTCAATTCTAATCTCTTCTTTCTATCAATTATTTCTGTTTATCCTGTACATAGTTTCTTTGCATATATTTGTTTCATGTTGTCTCCCCCATTAAATTGTAAATTCCTGGAGGGCAGAGACTGTCTTTTGCCTCTTTTTGTATCCCCAAAGCTCAGCACAGAACTTGGTATGTAATAGGCTCCTAATAAATGTTGATTGATTGATTCCTTCAGTATAAAATTCTCTATCTTCTTTATCTAGGGCTTCAAGTTTTTATTAACAATTTTTGTTTTGTCCAGTTCAAAAGTCATTTGTCTCAGCATAGAAAATTGAAGCAAAAAAGGGGTGAAATAGCCATGTCTTCTCTCCCTTTTTTGTTATTATTGTCACATCTATTCTGATAGCAATTCTATCCCTTCTTTGCTTCTCCTTCCTCCCCCTTTAGCTCAAAAAAATTCTTTAGCATTCATTTCTTTTTTGCATTTTTAATTCATTTTAAATTTAAATAAAAAATGAGAAAAGAAAAAAAACATTTCCATGTACACAGAACATGAGAAAACTCAATATAAAACAATAAATTTCCATGTCACAAAAACCTATGTAATAAATCTTATGCATTGTTTTCAAAGCAACCCAAGCTTTTCTGTGCTTCCTTCTAGGTTTTCTTTTGTTTTCTGCTGTATACTTTTATTTTATTTTATTTTTTTCTCCCTCTATCACTCATTTCTAGACTGGGCTTATTCCGAGCTTTACTGCTCCTGACACTCTCATGTAGTCATTCTATAATCTGTGCCTTTGCCATCATCATTATCATCTCCTCCTCCTTCTTGTTGTTCTCCTCCTCCTTTTTTTGTTCTCTTTCCCTATCTTGCCCAGGTTGAAAGTGGGGCAGTCACTTATCGACCTGATCTCACTGCTGATCGTCATGAAAACTTTGACCTCTTCTGTCTCTGACCTGAGCTTGTTCATCCCTCCTCAGGCAGCTTGGTGTACCCCTCCCCCCTCACTCCCACAGCCTTACTATATTGGTTCTGGACTTAATTGGGATACTCAGTTGGCTTTAGCAGCTCAGAATTTCTGAGCTCAAGTGATCTACTAGCCTCATCACTCCAGTAGCATGGATTACAGGAAAGTGCCACCATGCCCAGCTGCTTCCTTCTTCAGTATACCTTTAAAAAAAAATTTGTTCGATGAATCTCTGTAGTCCTTGAGACAACAATCAATGGAATTTATTTCTGTCCCATCTTCAGAACTACATTTTTGAAAGCTTCCTCTCTCTATTGAGATGATTGCCCCTTTATAACTTTAGGCCACAGTATGTCACTTTTTTTTTCTAAGCCCTTTGAAATACACACTTTCAAAATCTAGGGTGCATGTAAAATTATATTCAACTTTCCCCTCTTTATCACAAATCTAATATGAAATGGTCTCTTCCCTTCAAGGTTTCTATAGTTTTTCTATATCTGTAACTTATCCCTCTTTGTTGGTGAGAATCACCAAAACAGTACCTCTTATGACTCCACCTTTTGAAGAAGAGATTTATCATCAAGACAAGCCAATATATTACATATATATGTGTGTGTGTGTGTGTGTGTGTGTGTGTGTGTGTGTGTGTGTACACACACATATATTTAGCTGCTCTATTTTTGTCACAGAAAGAACTCCAGAAGATGTCTAGATAATTGGCATTCTTCTATTACCACTATATTATTCCTCCAAGCCAAGTTTGTAAGTTTTCTACATGCCATATTTATTTCCTCCTTCTGTCTAGGTTGTCTATAAAATAATTTCATGGCAATATCCCTTCTATATTTCCTCTCTTGTTCATCTTTCCCTAAATATAATACTACTGTACCCCATTCTCCCTTTTAACTATTCTATCCCTTTCACATGAAGAAAGATGTCCAAATTGATATTCCAGTGCAGAGCTCCACCCCACCAGTCTCAGTGATAGTTACTAGGCCAAATTCACCTCCTTGTGTTAGGACCTCTTGCTCACTTTGCCTATTTGCCAATTTTTCCACATATCTATATATAAATCTGTGGTCACAGATTTTATTCCTGGTTCCTTTCTAAGATTTTTGCGTCTTACAAACTACTAGGTATCTTTACTGGTTATACAAAGTCAGTTTTCTCTCTCCTCCTCCATTTTCATTTTAAAATCTCAGATTTCCTAGACACCACGCAAATAGGTATTTTACCTGCCCTTGTTAAGAATATTCTGTCCCTGGCCAAGAGTTTATCATTCTTAACTTTTAAGCCTCATACATTAATCTTAATCCTGTTCTTAGTATTATTTTCTCAATTTGAGACAACAACGTTGTTAACACTTCCTAAAGCTATCTTTCTTTTAGGAAGCCCTTGATTTCAGTGATATTAGTGATTTAAAAATGATAACACACCTGTGTCCCTAATAGGGCCTTTAGTTTCTTGCTCAAGACTTCATAGTCTATAACAAGAGAACCTGCTCTTCACTCTCATGGACACCTCCCTTCCTCTCACTTTTCCAATTTTCCCAGTTCACCAATACTCTTCTGAATTCCCTTGCTTTCCTGCTTAGCTTGCATCTTGTAGTCAGTCTTTTCAACAGTGTTTTTCCTAACATGGTAGAATCTTTTATTCCCTTGTTATTCACTTTCCATGCTATCCTCTCCTCAAGCTATGGTCTTTCCCTCCCTCCTTTCCACCACTGCCAAACTTCTTGTAAGAACACTCTATACCATTGCTTTTGTTTATTCTCTATCTACTTGATCTCCCATCCTTCGCAATTTGGCTTCTTCACTTGACATTTGATTGATCCTCTGTGATTACCTAATTGCCAAAATCAAGGGCTCACTATCCCTTGCTCCCATGCACACTCTGACTTTTCTGAGAGTCCAAATGCCACCTCTTCCATGAAGTGAAATCTGATTGTCACCCTTTACTTTGTAGGTAAAATAAGATAAGTACACAAATACTATAATATATGATAATACTATGCTATACAATAAAAATACTATTATATGTTATAATAACTATAGTCCAAGGTAGGATGTTATGGGTAACAAAAGAGATACAAAGTCCAGTGGAAGTTCAGATAAGGAACAGTTATCTGTTCAAATTCTGGATTTGCCACTTACTAGCTCTGTGATCTGGAGCAAGTTCTTTAAGTTTTCTAGGTCTCAAATTCCTCATCTTTAAAATGAAAAGATTGGATACAGTACCTCTGAAGTACGATCTTGTCCATCTATGAATTCCTAAGGAGGGGTGGGGTGAGGTGTAGGGTCAGTGCTGCTGTCCTCATCAGGGCAGGTGATCAGTCTCTCTTTTGATGTGCTGGATGAATTAGAATCATGGACTACTATAGCTGGAAGGGACCTTAAAGACAGTGTCATAATATCATCCTTCCTGGATTTTCCAGGACAGTCTGTTTTGAGAAAAAGAATGAGACTTTACAAAAAGAGTATCTCATATCACCTCAGGCGTTCAGATTTTGAATTTTAAAAGAAATTTTAAAAATTAAAAAAAAATATGCCACTGCTACTCAGTTGTGCCTTTCATTTTGCAGACTTATAGAACTGGAAGTATATTGGATCTGGATTTTTGGTACTGACTTTGCCACTAAGAACTTAGTCGTTAGACCTGGGGGCAAGTCACTTGTACTAGGTATCACAGCCAAATGAGCACAGGATCTGAAGTCAAGAAGACATGACTTCAAATCCTGCCTCTGACACTTGCAAGTCACTTAACCTCTGTCTGACTCAATTTCCTTAACAGTAAAATGGAAATAATTAGAGCGCCTAAGCTCACAGAGTTATTCTGAGGATCCAATGAGAAAATATGTAAGGTGCTTTAGCTACAGATATGCTAGCGATGATGACGATGATTATAGATTTCAGCCTCTTGGTCTGTGAAAATTGGAGGGTCTGGACTTTTCCTTCCAGCTCTGAGCTCTACAATCCTAAGTCACAGAGGGATAAAGGCACTGTCAGTACTTGCCGAGTAAGACAGGTCCCTAACCAGAGGTTAAGGCAGTGAGCACTACAGAAGAAACTCTGGTCCCGCCCAGCCCCAGAGATGCAGGAACATCTCTGCTAGAACAACACTCCCTCTCGTAATCCCAGAACCAGCTGGGGGAGAAGGTAAATGGACACCCGGGACTTCCACGTTAGAAGCCGTCTCAACCCACCCACGCAAGTTCAGGGCTCTGGACTGTCCTTGAGCTGCCAGCCCGGTATCCCTCGGTTGGGATCTATCCCATCTCTTCGCCCCCGCCTTCAGAAACTACAATCCCCAGCATGCACGTTTCCCCTTCCCCCCTTCCCACGCCTCCGATCGCCTTACCCCGCGCAGTGCGCATGCTTCTCCAGACGTGGCACCGGGAACTCCGAGGGCGCTGGGGGCGGGGCCCAGGGCAGCGGCCGCGGCCGTTGGAGGAGCGGGAGCCGGAGCCGGGAGCGGGAGCCGGAGCCGGGACCGGGGCCGGGGCCGGGCCGGGCGGGGACCTGGCAGGCTGGCGGAGCAGGCGGCGGCGATGGGTCGGGCCGGCCGTGGGTGTTGCTCCGGGCTGCTGCTGCTGCTGGCGATGCTGGTGAGGCTGGGCAGGGGCGGGGCTGGGGAGGCAGGCAGGCACGCTGCGGGCTGTGCCGGGGCGCGGGGCACGACTGACCGAGAGCGGGAGCGGAGCCGCGCGGGCCGCCCGGGGGCTGGCTGTGCACGCCCGGGAGCGCCGCGCAGGCTGCGCTGGGTGCAGGTATGAGAGAGGAGGCTGGGGACCCCCTCCCCCTTTACGCCCTCCTTGTGCCTAGGTTCTGCATCTTGCACCTGTGCATGTGTGCACCGGGGAGAAGGGGAACCCCGGGAGTCGGGGCTGGGGGGCGGCGGCGGTCATTTATCAGGCAGCCTAATCTCAGGTCACACATGATGCTTGGTTTCTGTGCCTGAGATTTCTTGCTTCGTGTGACCGCGCTGCCCCCTGCCCCCCCATGCCCAGACCTGTGCACCCACGGGCCAGGCCCCTTTGAGGCTACAGCAGCCCCTTCCTGGAGGTCACTGTCACAGGCTGCAAAGCTGGACTCTTGGTTAACCCCAGCGTGAGTTAAGAGGTCATGTTGTGTAATGGGGGAGGAGCCCCTCCCACATATGGCCTAGGGGCGTGACACTCCCACCCCCATACTCTCTTGGAAAGAGCGTCCCGGGGACACACCTCGGAGGACCATGGAGTGCCAGAATGGATTGAGGACTGGGAGTAATGGCATGAGGTGGCCTCTTCCCCTCCCTGCAGCCTCACTCTCCCTTAGCCTCCTCCCAAGAGCTGCCTTCAAGGCTAGAGGATGAATAAAATTCTAATCTTTTATGTTTTAGGTGGAGGGTAACTGTTTAGTCTTGGGTGGGGAATGACAAAGTTAAGGTGTCTCTAGCCTAGAGCTCTTCCATTTCCCCAATTATGCCCCCATCCTTCCAACATAAGTTCTGTGAATTGACCCTCTGTTTCTGAGTGGCTTAAAGATGACTATGAAAGGAAGGGGGACTGGGGAAGAAACTTAATTCAAAAGATATTAAATACCTACTATTTGTAAGGCACTGTGCTAAGCTTTGAGGATACAGAATGAACTATCCATGCTCCTAAGGAACTTATATTCTTTTTAGGGGAGATATTGTACATACATAAATAAGTTAGATACAAGGTATGGAGGAATGGAGCAAGTAAAAGATTTAGACAGAGTGCTCTAGAAAATTTTGAGGAAGAAGAGGAGAGTACTAATAACTGGAGAGATCAAAGATAGCTTCCCAGAGAAGGTGATACTTGTGGGATTTCATTTCATTGGAGGGGATAGCTTGTATGATTGTAGGAAGGTGTGATGTGGCATATCAAAGGTTACTTCCTGGATTTAGTTTTGTTCTTTTCTGGGGGTGAGAAGTGAAAGAAAGCCTATCTGGCTTACTAGCCTTTCTGAATATCTGTGGGCGCTGGATCCAGAAAGCACCTGCTTGCTTACGGTATATTACTGGAAAGACAGGGACTATGCAGATAATGTATTCAGTGTGAACTTTTACTTCAGTTTAGGTCTCCTGTAGGGTTTAGAAATACTGGAATTACTCACTAGGGGTTGGGAGGAAATCAATGACCAGTAGATGGAAGGGATGAGGAATGATTGTTCCTGCCAAGACCTCCATCCTTCCTCTTAACAGATTTCCTCTCTTGCTTTCAACCACATCTGACAGCAAAGTCTTTTTTAAATCATCTTGCTTCTGGACTAATGGGGACTGTTATGCATACACATAGGCAGGTAGTTTTTGTTGTTGTTGTTGTCGTTCCTTTCAGATGATCATTTCCCACTTTTCTAGTGGATTTGAGAATTGGAACTTTGAGGTCCATGCTATCATAAGAAAGAAACCAGTTACTGGAAAGCCTTTTGGTAGAGTTTCATCTTAATCTATCAACCACCCCTCCCTAACTTTAAAAATGGCAACAATAACAAAACTTAAAATTGCAAGTGAGTTTCTGTGGCTAGTGTTTTTCTTGGGGGAAAAAAGATTTAAAATTCTGGGAGATGCTTTGTGTGTGTGTGTGTGTGTGTGACACTCGTATGTATTATCCCTAAAATGGATAAAGAAGAAGCATTCCTTGAAAGTAGATTTCTATTCCCTCCCCCTACCACAAGCCTGACTTAAGAGAAGGGGAACAAGCTGACAATGAAGGTGAAGGTTGGTGTATTTTTCTTTTCTTAGAAAACTGGGATGGGCCACTGTACATTTATATACCGGGTATATCTGATAAGGTCCTCAAGGATTCTAGGGAGAAGTTTGGGTTCCTTTATTTCTTTCAACGAATATTTTTTTGAGCATAGCATTGTGCTAGATTCTGTGAGGGATGCATAAAAATACAATGTATGATTCCTTCTATCTCAGGTCTCAGGAAGACAAGATTATACACAAAGTTAAAGACCGTTTTAAGAGGACAGTACATAGGAGACTGACTTGGAAATGTTTGACTTGAATATGAATAGTTACCTTATCTGGTAACTTGAACTTGCCCTCCTTCCTCTGAATCCCATTTCTGGGAATGTTTCTTCCTCTTAAATACTCCTAGCTGTTTATTTCTGCCGGTCTATTTCCCTTAGGTACCCTACTCTATGTATGGACCTCCAGTCTCTAAAGCTAGAGCCCCACTTGTTCTGGCCCAGTTCTTTCTCTAGCTCTTAACAAGTGGTATAATGAAAAGTATGCAGGATTTGGAGTCAGTGGACCTAGGCTGGAATCACTTAACCTCTCCAAGGCTTTATTTTCTTCCTATATAAAATGAGGGAGCTGGTCTAGATAACCGCTAAGATTTTTTCCATTTCTGGATCTCATCAGTCCTTTTCTTCTTTCCCTGTACTTTCCCCTTCCTGTCCTCTTCCCTCTCTCCTCTAGCTAACTTCTTTTTACAGTCCCTCTTTCCTCTGAATTCAGAGCTGCCCCTGCTGTTGAACCATTCATTTCCTTTCCTCCTATCTCCACCCTGCTAGCTGAACTGTTCCCACTTCCCCTCTCCCCAGCTCACTTGTTTGTGCAGTCCTTCACTTTTCAAACCAACCCATCCCACCTCTCTGTACCACTTCTCCCTCTCTCCACTTCCTCCTCTTTCTTAGCAGGAAGAATCTACATTCCTCAGCTTCTTCCATTATCTTCCCTTATCCTGCCTGTCCAAGCCTCTGTCCCAGAAGTCTTCCCCCCAGGGGAGCCAGCATATTGACTTGAAGCTAGGAGAGTTCCTTTTCCCACTGCCTGGCATGTGTCCTCCTTTGGGTAGGGGGGTGGGAGTGGGGTGGAGAATGGATTTAATCCTGGTATAATGTGGAACCCCTGTCCATTTTCCCAAAGAGATATTTTTTTTAATGATTTGGCTATACTATAAGTTAAATTAGGCTTTTGAGGCTGAATCAGAAGTGTGCTATGGAAGGCAAATGATATAACTATGTGATCAAAGGAACATAGGGAGGAAAAGGAATAAGCATCATTTGCAGGGAGGGAAAATGAATAGATTAATATGGCTGGAGTAGAGATTCTTTTGTGGAATAATGGGACATACAGGTTCATAGTTGAAAGATAGAAGAGACTATCTGACCTCCACATTGTTCAGAGTTAGAAATTGAGGCCCAGAGTGATCTTCCCAAGGTCACATTGTGTGAGAGAGAAAATTTGAACTCAGATCCTTTGACTCTTAAGTCCAGAATCCTTTCTACATTTCCACGTTACCTCTTCTCTTGCTTCCCTTATTATTCAGGAGTTGATTACACAAGTCCCTTCTTTATTGTCTTTCTCCCTTTGCTAACTTGTCTTTTGACCATTCTGTATTTATTTATATGAAGTTTAGAGATAACAAAAGATAATTATTTTAATAAATGATTTGTGGAAAGGAGTTTGAAACTAATAGCCAAAATCATTTTACCTAGGGAAAGTCCTGCTATTAAATTAGAAGTATGCAGGTTCTTCCATAATCATAGTCTTTCTGGTTAAGGGCCTTTTGTGGAGGACCTTGAATGGTGAGCTAAAGATTTTAAGATTTTTTTCTTTAGCAATGAGAATCTATTGAAGAAATGATGTGAAGAAAGCAGTGCTTTAATATTAATGTGGCACTGGTATGCTGGAGGGATGAGTGAAATGAATAAGAGAAATCTGAACAATTTAGGAAGCTTTTGCAGTAGTTAAGGCTTTAAGTTATAGTGGGGGCAGTGAGAATAGAAAGGAGAGAGGGATGTGGGAATGTTATAAAGGAAGACCCAGTAGAACTTAGTGAATGGTAGTTGGGAAAAGAGAGGAGTCATATATGAGTCTGAAGTTTGGATGACTGAGAAAGTAGTGCTACCATTAACAGGCAGTCAGGAGAGGGAATTAACTGATGCTTTGGTTGTGAGTCACCCAGGTGCACAGGGAGCCTGATGCTAGCTAGGGAAAGAATTTTAATGTAGTTCAGAGATGCTTAATAATTTTCCTTGAATTTTAGAATATCTGGCTACATTTTACACTCTCCTGACTAGTCTCTGTTCCCCTCTGTAGGAGACTGCCCAAACTATTTTGACTATGACATTTATTGCCATACTTATTACTAGGTGAAATATTTCTGCTCTTGAGAGGGAGAGAGAGAGCAGAAAGTGAGAGTGAGTCTGATTGCAGCCCGGGAAGTCTATCTTTGTCATCCTGAATATGGTCTGGCCCTCACGCCAGCAAGTAAGCCAGTGCTTACTGGCGCCTCTTTTATTCTTGGCCAAGGAGTGAGATATGTG